AACACTCAGAACAAGCTCTAAGCCCTCGATTTTGTAATATTGTGCTCTAATCTTTCGACTGATCACGCTAAATGCTATGAGGTAGCTGGCGTGTATTGCAACTGGGAGGGGAAATGAGAACTGCCCCCAAAAAAGAAAGAAGCATTTCAGTAACTATTAATTTTTTACTTGCAAGAAATTTTCAAACACTTTCTCGGTGCGGAGAACTTTCGCGACAATCCTGTACTTTCATGTGGGGGGGGGGGCTTCGTGCTGCGCGAAGCCGTGCTTGTGGAAGGTGTGGCTGGCCATCCACTTGAATCGAGTTCTATTTAAGTTAAAATACCTCCTTACCGTTCCGGTCTCTAGTAACATGAGTATTTTACGCACAGTCCGTCAAATAGACAGAGTGATCACAACAACGTGAGTTTAAAAAATGCAAATTTATTATCTAGGAGCCCCCGTCGTTTGAGTTCGGCGCGGAGAGACTTTTGCGACAACCCTGTACTTTCACGTGTGGGGGCTTGTGCTTGCGGAGGAGGAAATATTTGTTTTTGTTCTCTAATCCTTGAAATTTAAAACGGCAACCCTGGTACTCCACAAGGATAAAAAAAATGCAATTATTAATTATTATGATCCTCCGTCGTTTCGGCTGGCGCGAGAGACTTTCGCGACACCCTGTACTTCACGTGTGGGGGGTTTGCGGTGGTGCTTGGCGCAGGAGAAACCGCTGGCGTGAAGGTGTGGCTGGCTCTATCCACTTGATCGAGTCGCTGGCGCGCTCGCTTCCTCTTTCGTCACCGTATTCTCCTCACGCCGCCATCGCTTGGGGGACCTGGCCGCCAGGTCATCTCTCATCACCTCATTCATTCTCGTAAGTCAGTTTCGCAGTCATTCACTGCTACTTAGGAGTCGGTTTGCGGCAGTCACTCACTGCTATTAAGGATTCCGGAGCGCCAAAGCTAAGGTGGTTAGTCCGTAAGTGTAGTGAATATTGTTTCTTGGAAAGTGGGGCGTGATCTAAATTACAAGTGATCGCGGGCGCGTCAATCTGTTAAAGTATCGGTCCGTGCGTGTAGAGCCATGTTTTTTCGTCGATAGGTGCGGTCGATTTTATTTATAGTAATTCTGGGCGCGTCAACTGCTAAGGTCGGTTAGGTCTCGTAATGTAGGACATGTTTTGCTGCGGAGATGGACAGCTTAAGATGTATTAGTCCGTAGTGTAGTGATATTTTGCTTTCAAAGTGGCGGTGAATTAAGGCGCGGTTTCGGCAGCGATTACAAGTGATTCCGGGGCGCGTCTAACTGTAAATTGTATCGGTCCGTCGTGCGTGTAGAGCATGTTTTTTTTTCGGGGTCCGATAGGTGGCGGTGATTTTATTTATAGTTAAATATCTGGGCGCGTCAACTGCTAAGGTCCGTTAGCCTCGTAAGTGTAGAATGTTTCTTGCTCGGGGAGATGGGCCAGCTAAGTATTTTAAGTCCCGTAAGTGTAAGTGATATTTTTGCTTTCAAAAGTGGCGGTGATTAGGCGCGGATTTCGCACATTACAAGTGATTCCGGGCGCGTCAATGTTAAAGTCCTCGGTTCCCGTGCGTGTAGAGCATCGTTTTTTTTTCGGTGCGAAGGTTGTGGTGATTATATTTAATAGTTTGGGAGCGATCTCCCACTTGTGGAGATACCTGAAGAGGCACACATCGCAAGACGACTGTAGGACAAAACCAGATCCCTATTTCCAGTGAGTAAGGTACACTACCATTTCTTGGGATGAAGGAGTAATAAGCACTACACTTAACGGACTATGATCACAGTTGCTAACGCGCCAGAAAAATGTCAATTAACAATAATAAATGAGGACAGCACTAACCAGAAAGGCACCAATTAGCAATAGAACAGTGGTCAGCATCATGATGGCAGCGATGACTGACGCCGTAATAAGAGTTGATCGGTGGCCTGGGTCTGAAACACATGAGTTTTATAAAACATTTTGAACAAAAATTCTTAAATTGATCGCGGTCAATACACTGAGTTTCAAGAACAAATAAAAAACTAACTTTCGCTTCACAACACAAAACATTAGTTATGGAGTAGCGTACTGTTAGGAGAAAACAGAGAAAGAAAGACTATCATGAACATGTATCACGAGAACATTAGCTGATGGAAACCGAAAATATATTTGTGGCGTAACAAAATAGCGCAGACTTTTGTGTCCTCGTGAGTATTCCTTTCTTTCGGGGTTACCTTTCCGGGTTTGTCTCCTCTTCCCTAGGGTTACTAGAGTCCTAAATGAAAAAATCAGGATTGTTGTATGAAAATATCAGAACATTACTCAAAAAGTAAAGACACTTTTCTATAATGACAAACGTGTACCAAGCTCTTACACTACCGAAGAAACATCATTTTATATATAAATACACTTTACGGTAAACAAGATGACTGACAGATTTATTATAAACAATTCTTTCTATTTCTATTTCAAAATACCTGGTACAAATATAAGAACAAAACATTCTTATTATTCTCGTTGTTAGAAAATACGTGAGTCACTTCTAATACCACTTTTCTCTACTGCAATTTCAATTTGTGTGTATTTTATATTGAAATTTAAATTGAACAGTAAATAGCTGATACGTATTAAACGAATTCGGACTTTCAAAACCAATCACAACAGACAGGTTAGGTCCTGATAAATCAGAACGTCTGGTAAGCCTACCCTTCACGTCTGCCGTCTACAGGTCCTCTAAACGTACGAAAAGTACAGTAAGGCAGGGAAGTCTCTCCATACGGAGATAAATTAGGACCTCCTATTAACAATCGTATTTATGTTGGTAGCAACCAGATCACAATAGGAAACAAGAGAAGGAGACAACACTTCCAGCATCGATGATGGATGTGGTGAGTGATCAGTCGTAAAGTTTCTCTCCATCTCGGAAGTTCGGGAGTTGTCCTAGAGTGATTTGAAACATTCCGGGACGAAAATAGGTGCTGGTACATTTATCTACCAAAGAGAATAAAATTTCTTGAACCATTATTTGTTGTTGTTGTTGTTGTTGTTGTTGTGTTTTGTTATTGTTGTTATTTTAAACGAGCTATATCTCGCACCATCATAATTTCTATTGCTAGTACCGTCACCGGTCACTGGTGCTCTATGGAGAGACTTTACCGGGGCACTATTGGGCCTTACGTCAGATTGGACCCTACAGCCTTTGTATCCACGAACATCGGTAAACCACGTCCCTATCCCACTGAGTCCGGCTGAGATGGCTCAGCGCATCAACTGATGTCACTGCAATGCCTCTGACTGGCTGGTTCTAGTTTCAAGTCCCGACAGTGGCAGAATTTTTGACATCAGCTTTACAGCCAGGTAGAATTCAATCGCTATCTGGAGAAGTATTCTAGCGGCCGGCTGCTTTGATCGGTAATTTTACGGGCAGCAGGCGAATGCCGGAGCAGTACCCTAACAAACGGGCCACGGACCGTGCGCGATCATTCCTTCCTCTTTCTATCCTTTCTATCATCATTCATGTGTAATAAAAGGGTGAGGAAACGATTGTGGAGTTTTAGAACACGTTCGCAGATTATACGTCTCCCCCGTACGTCACATACAGTTGTTACTTTTTTTGACGAAAATATATCATATCATATCAAGGTGAAGGTTCCGAAGTTTGGCTTCTCTACAAATGTTTGAATTGTGAGGCAATGCAAAGGAAAACACATGCTATCCGAGACACCTGTATTAATATCTTGAAACACGTCTGCAGCATGCTTTATGGATTAGGACTGCGATAAGCGATGTTCTGAGATCCTGCCACTGGCAGAAATATTCCATAACAACTCTTGCAATTGGCTCTTATTCCTGCAGAGGAAAATGCTGAATCGAGCAGAACGTCTTTTTAAAACATATATTTATATTATCGAAATTCTTGAAACAATCTGTTTACAAAGAATCATTCTACAATACTTTATTGTATTGTAAACGTAAAGTCACGTAAATGTTTAATCATATTTTGTGTACAAAATTATTACTATTATTATTATTACAATTTTTACTATTATTAATATTGTTACTATTATTACTATTATTACTATTATTACTATTGTTACTATTGTTACTATTGATACTATTGTTACTATTGTTACTATTGTTACTATTGATACTATTGTTACTATTGATACTATTGTTTCTATTGATACTATTGTTGCTATTATTATTACTATTATTACTATTATTATATCCCCCCATGGACAATGTCAACGTGAGTTTTCTGTTAGTCGAA